GATCCTCGGTCCTGTTGTGAAGTGCTGATAACTCGTCTTCTTCATTTCTGTTCGACAACGACTGGTTCAGGAGATCCTCGGTCTTGTTGTGAAGTGCTGATAGCTCGTCTTCTTCAGTTCTGTTCGACAACGACTTTTTCGGAAGATCCTCGGTCCTGTTCTGAAGCGCTGATAGCTTGTCTTCTTCAGTTGTGTTGAACAGCGGCTGGTTCGGGAAATCCTGGGTTTTATTGTGAGTTTCGGCCGAATAATCTGCAGACCTCTTCGACAGTGACTGGTCTGACAAACCCTTGGTTCTTTTGGAAAATGCAGCCTTGTCGTCTTCTGCGGTCCCGTTCGACAACGCCTCGTCCACGATGTCCTGGGTTCTGTTCTGACGCATAGACGAATGTTCACTTTCAGATCTGTTTGAGGGCTGCTGTCTTCGGAAATCCTCTGTCGTGTTGTGAGGTGCGATTGAGTGATCTTCGGGCTTTTTCGACAATTGGTTTTTCATTTTGTCTGTCCTGTTTTGAGGTAGCTCATTGCCATGCGCGGCAGACCTGCTGGAAAGCGGCTGATATGGCAGGCCTCCTATCACGTTATGAAGTATATCTATATCGTCACTGGGGTTTCTTTTAAACGGTGGATGATGTGTCAGGTTGTTGGTGCTTTGTTGGTGTGCTGTAGACGCCTTTGCGTCTGTGGACCTCTTCGACATTGGCTGAGCCTCTAGGCTAACCTTAAACTTAATGGTTGTTCTTTCCTCATTTTGAACTGTAAGACATATTTTAAAAACTTTGAAAAGGTTAGCAGACGCTACCGTGTAGGCTGGGGTTTGAACTAGAGGTTCGTTGACACTTCTGGCCAGCAATTCCTGAAACGGCACGATATGCTACCTTTGAAAATCAGTTAGGCAAGGAACGCTAAACAAATATGCTCACAGCCTCGAAGTAAGAGCTCTCGTATACGTTGTCTCGGCACAGCCCTGGAAGGACTGATGAGAAGAGCATAACGCAGGCATTGTGTGAGTAAACACTGAACTTCGGTCGCTGATCCTGTCTCACTACTGCTGACATCGACAAATCCTGCAATTTTTGTTTGCATACATCTTAAGTGATCTCGGAGCGGCAGTGAAACATTGCAACAAGTAATGAAGATGCGAAAGAGCCCTTAAAGTGAAACAGATCTCTCACAAAGAATGCATTTCCCTCTTTCCGGCAGCGATGTTCAATTCCCATTTGGAAGCAGCTTAGAAGACATACCGACAGCCTAAAACAACACTACCAGCACTATTGTACTATCATTCTGAACAAATAAAACTAACTTACATTACTTTAAGAACAATTAATACGAGGTGTATAGTAGAAAGTACTTGCAAAGAATATTGACGACCGATTTACTTCCCACTCTGTCAGGTACACCCAGTGAGTCGCGGTTTCTCATCACGAAAGTATCCACTCCAGTCACAGTTTTACCAAGTCGACAAACGCGTTCGCATTTTTCATAGACATCCATAGCTTCCTCATGCACACAGGATGATAATTCTGCAGTAGCGTCGGCTGAGCATGTAAAACTTATATCCCCTACAGTGACCCTCCATGAGTAAACCATACCTCTGTTCGCTTCACTGTTACAGGCGTATTCCGAAGCATGCAGACTAACACCTGTTCCAATGCTGCCGTGGGGCAGACTCGTCCTCCAGCACTTCTCCACCGAGTCAAAAATGCTGTAAGTTAAAATAAAAGATATTCAACCGAATTATATTGGTGGGCAAAAGCCTGGAAGCAACACTTGCTTAATAGGTTGGAATTTTTTTTTCTTGCAGCAACATAGAAATACACGGAAATGTAAAATATTACTTCTCTTAAAACATACGCGCAAAAAAGAGTTTTTCTGTCTTCATCCCAAGGGGAGTCGATCTTCATCAATGCCACAGTGCTGTCAATCTCATCAGTACATCGGAGATTACACGACAACGGGTGAAATGAAGGTGCAACATTAGTAGTATTAAGGAAGTTAGGGGCATCTACAAGGGCTAAATTAGTTGGTCGGAACCTGTTTTTTTAGAAACATGAAACATTTAAAATGTACTCTTGTTGAGCCTAGAATTTCAACTGACAGTAGACAATAATTATTACCTCGTAATTTTTCGCTAAAATTAGATGAATTTAAACAACTTCCAATTTGTGGGTACACTCACCACTTCTGACGTCTTTCGTGTTTTCACTGTCATCGCCAATATTTTTTGGACTCAAAACATCACGAATGATTGCTGCCGTGTTAACGAAATAAACATAACATAACACAGTTAGCAACAGATTACGGAACCAGTTACCAAACATATTTTACACCTGAAGAATTAATCTTCAAACTACCTTTGAAATTGTCTGCACAAGACTAGAGTAAGTTGAAATTATACAACAGATGTTTCTGACTCGATATATAAGTGCGTTCGTTGTATTCTGAACCAAAACTTATACTAAGTGGTGAGAGTGATTCACTGTATGGCTGTGAAGTGACTGAACCCGCGGGGAAACGGTGAACCATTGTGGATTCTAATTAGGGACTAGGAGGCCGCTTTTTAAAGGGCTTTAGAAATATGCGTGGACCAATTTTTTGGTCCGATTGCTACGACCACAAAAGATGGTTAACCCTCTGCATTGTTTAGGCCGTTTAATAATTCAACAAGTGATTATAAGAAAACGTGTAAATTTTTGCTGAAATATAACTTCTGCACTATTAAAGTGCTCCCTGCGAATGTGGGAGGTAAAAGAATTATGTCTGAAATCAAGTGGTATCTATCAGTTCCAGGTGTAAAGTGGATTAGCAGTACTGAATTAAATTTGAAATGAGTTCTATAAAAGTATTTCAAAGAGAAACGACTTTGAAACAAAAGGAAACACGGCGGCATTGTAGTCATCATTCAGGAACAGATTAATTGAAGAAACTAAAGTGATTAAAGTGTACTGGTTCTGTGCAATAATCTAAGAACATCTGTGTGGTAAATCTTCAGTTGTGTCTATTTCGTCTTTGTTCTTTTTTGGTTCTCGTTGACTGCAGTTTTGTACATGAATTATTGTAACATTTCTTGGAAAAAATATAGAGAAAAAAGAAAAGGCAGATAAAAACTGAAACTCTGTTGCAGAAAAACTGAAACTTCAAGAACTTGAAAACTGCTACAAATCACTGGTACAGCTTCATTTTAATTGTATCTTTAAAGCACTTTCTTGATGGAATAAAGGAAATGTAATGGACGAGACTTGTTGACGTAAGATACTTTTGTTTTACTGCCAATTTGATCAGCAGACAATTTCCATTTCTCTCCTCATTTCAACTTGTTAAAAAAAAGCTTGGTATAGCTTGCTAAAATTGAACCATGGGGGTCGTCAGAAGCCTTACTGCCATACAAAGGGTTTCAAGTCTAGCTGGTGTGAAATAAATGTTACTGTTTGAAGGAAGAGTGCGCTGGTGCGGCGCCTTTTGCAGTAAGGAATGAAGGGGGTTGTAGCAGCATACGCTCTATGCAACGCGAAAGATGATGCAAAGAAAGTTTTTTTCTTGGTAAATATATTTTTTGACAATTTGGTCATCAGCAATGATGAAAAACTTTCCGTCAGTTATCTATGAAAGCTAAGTGGAATCAAGTCACATTTCAGATAATTGTTGTAGCTAAAAACTAGTAATAGATAAAGCTGTTGATCAGTGGACAAGTTTCACAAGCAGTATTTGCTATTAATGTTTTTACTAAAATACTACCAGTCAACGGAGAAAGCTAAAAAAGCTGGAACTGAATATGAAGTGATTACGAAAAATGGGGAACGAGGAAATTTTTGGTGCTCTGGTCTCGTGTAGAAGGAAAGAGACAATAGCATTCTAGTATTGACAGAACAGAACTTTTTCAACTAATACAGAAGGATGTCACTTGTTGAAGTAATTCTTTTGGAAAACTGAGGGATATCATCTGGACAAACGCTTCTGAAAGGGCTATTGGCACTGTTTAGTAAGCTCTACTGAAATGAACTTTTGTCAAGCAGGAGCTAAATTTTATAAACGAGCTTAAAGGATCATGCAGTATGCAAAAAGCTATGTGCTTTTCATGGATGAGCCGTCTAGTATAGCCTGCAGCAGTTGCTCAAGTCGTTACAGGTGCTGCACACCACAACTTTAAAAATATCCTCTCATTCTTCTCAGTGAAGATGGAAGATGCTGCTAAGTTGGTTTCATTTTGAAAAGTTCTCTTAGTTGTCGGTATTCAGGTCACGTGGCAAAGAAAAAGGTTTTTAGCAGTCGACTTATCAGATCAGCGAAGTAAGATTAAGGAGAATGAGTTTTGTATAGTCACCTAACGACTTCTCAATTTTAGTGCGTGTGTTTTTACCAGTCTCATTCGACGAAGAGACTGAAGCATTTAAAGGCGAAAAAACTTATACTTCAGAACTTGAAAATTTCTTGCTTTTCGTACTCAATTCTTCATTTATTTGACTACTGTTCTATGTAAGAGAGCTGGAGTGAAACAACTGAGAATTTGAAAAGTTACTTTCACTTTTAGGAACGGACAGCATATTACACTGGGGATCAGGCAAAGTAAAACTGCTGAAAGGAAGGGGTGACTGGATTTTAGACCTTATAAAACGCTATAGGTAGCCTTTAGGGATGGTAGATATATAACCAAAGCAAAAAAACGCCGCAGTTCTTTTGCAATTTAGGGAGTGAGAGGTTGGAGTGCGAATAAATGTCTTGTTTTTCCTACAAATTTTGTCACTTTTTTTCAAATAAATTTATTCTCTTTGTTATGATAAAGCTTCCCTACTTCAAAACCTGCTTTTGTCCAAGAATCAGCGAAGTACTGGTGCGCCAGTGGTGCCGTTCATTTCTAAAACACCGTAAGTTGACTACCTTGAAAATGAAATACAGAGCGCTTGACTGTCGGAACTAATTATTCATTTCTTTGTTTGTTCACTTTTTTGAACAATGTTCTTCAGTTACTTCATTTTCAAACAAATACTGTTAATTCCTAAAAGTTTAAACTTCAACTTTTCTGCCCCGTAACGTCAGTTGAATATTTCAAACCTGATGATTATTAAAAATTATAAAACTTTACGTGTACGCGGCATTTATGTAGTTATTTTTCACACGCTTTCATTGGCATCTTGTAGCAAATATTCCTTCTAAGCACATTTAGATTTAAATTTGCACTTTGTTGCTTTAGATTTTCCCAGTTTTGAAAATAAAGAATTGCTTTTATGGCTGATGACAGTCCTATTTTTGAGCTTTAACGGTTGATAACAGTCTCGCAGTTCCTACCACACTAAGCTGCACTAACGATAGAAAAAAAAAGCCTGTCTTTTGATTTTGATGCCCCTCCAGAACCATAGTAGAACCATAAGTTTGAAAAACTCACTACAGGGAAATGGGAAAAAATCTCATTAAATCAGGCAGTGACCTTTTGATGTCATAAACACATCTGATTAGATGATGTGAAAACCCCTTCTACTGCAAAAAAAAAAAAAAAAAAAGTAGGAATGTCATCGGACTTTCGCTTTTGAGAGGTTTAAAGCGCTTTCCAGAAATGAACAGCCATTTAATGACTTCACTACAATTGCTTAGTCTAACATTTGTTGCGAAGTTTTCTATATTTTTTTGGTTTAGGTTAAGAACATAACTGAGAATGCGTTTATTAGTAAGTACTTATACAATATAAGGCACACTTTCATTGCCAAAAAAAATGTTACGAAAGAAACAATAAAGAAGTAACGCGATGAGCAGGACGATTCTCAAGCGCTGTATACAAAAGCAACGTACCAAAAACTCAATGAACAAGACAAAACAATGACTTTTAGAACAACACTTGAGATGTAGATGAGTAAATCAATAGGACATGGTTGACGGCTCAGCTTCTTAATATGAGGGGCTTTACTGCTGCAGTGATAGGAATGGCGGTTACCATTCCGAAGACAGATAAATTTTTCGATACTTAAGCTTGTAAGAACCAGTCAAAGAAGAAGAATCAGTCAAAAGCTTGCTGAACAGTGTAAGAAATACTGCAAACATACATCACTTAGCAGGTGGTGTCTTAGGTAGAATTCTCACAACTTCACACACAGTTATCTGACAAAGTTATCTGACGAGTAAAAGGTTTTCGTTTCGCTACTGATCTGATTACTGAACGAAATGTGCTGCTTGCTTTCTCAACTACATAGTAATTTTTAAAAGCTGAACCATGAAATTTGAAAAAAATTTTTTTACCAGACAAGTAGTTTCAAAAGTAGCATAAGGTGCAAATACCTGCCCCAATTATAGATAGATCGTTTTACGCCGCGTGGCGGTAGTTCGTAGAGACGATTTACACTAAATACTGATAATTTGCAAATCTTACGCTGCATTTTATAATAAAAATGGAAATTGTTTTCAAGAGACTTTGATTCCCGTAGTTTCCTAAAAAAGTGCAGTTTAGAAAATGTAGCGAATTAAAAAAGGTTTTCACAATTGATGCATCCTTGTAATCTCAATCCATACAAGGTAGTCAGACTGACTAGATTAACGAAAGCGAAAAAAAAAAATTGCGATTGCTAGCGCCACCTGATGACCTCTTACTCTCTGCGCTTAATCTCATTCAGTAGTGAGCTTCAGTAATTAATGGTGGGAATCATGATACTGACGTAGCGGCAAACTATCGTGTCTTCCACATCCAAATCTTCGTCTATTTGACAACCATCCCACCGTTTAAAAAAAGAAACAACTTTAGGTTCTGCACCGCTACGAGAAGTTCCCATGGGTGGAAGTAAAGTTGCTCAGAGATTTGTGGAAGGCTTTACCAAACTCGATAGGCAGTTTTCAGAAATGAAAAGCTGAACAACACCATAAGTCATCTGCGGCTCAGGATGTTACGGCAATAAATTACGCCATTTTTACAATTTTACTTCGAATATCGCTACCGTGCCTTCAGAAAAAAAAAAAAAGTTTCTCTCTTTATCAAAGTGAAGCTTAATTATATTACATTATATTCTTAAAGTTAAATTTTTTTATTTCTGTTGACAGTTTCAGGTCTTAACTGTTATTCAGAGTATAAATTTGTTGCGAAATTAAAAATTGTTCAGAGAATGCTGCATTGAAGGGTCGGAACTAGCGAATAACAGACTACCGTCTACTGAACTAGCGACAGCAGCTTTTCACCACAACTCTTTTTAGTGTAACCATTAATTTAAGCTGTTTATTAAAAGTATTTGGTATTTCAGCAGTAACAGGAAAACTTTCTTTGTACAATTTTTTGTATCTGTACAATCAGTTATGTTAGATATTTTTAGGCGGTGCAGATACGTTCTAAAAAAACCTTGTCGATTATCAATTATTATATTGACTAGGTTGTTTCTGAAACCACTTCAGAATTTCTTGTTATAGTCTAAACATCTGCTAAAGCCACATGTAGAATATCAGTATTCAAACAGCAATATTACCGTATGCCTGTCTTTTGAAGGCTTTATGGTCGCTACAAATCCATGCCGCACTGAAACAGGTAAGAAGACTGAAACGCTTGTTTGTAATCCTGCTATGCCATAACACTTTCAGGATTCAGAAGAAACGGCCCTATATAACTGGAAGTAATAGTTTAGAAACCGCACACATTCTTCCCAACTATTCCCTCAGTATAACCATCACGACGGCTGACGTACAAAACACCCGCATGAGAAGTACAACCGTATGAAAGAGACAGGACACCCAACCAACGCGTTTGCACTGCCAACTCAACGCATCTTCGCAAACCAATGCTTGAATTCTAACTGTTACATACAGCGCCTTAGCAGCACCTCTTCCGACTACTTTTGAAGCCAGCAGCGAAAGAACTATATATGATAAATATCATTTATATGCAACTATTTCTTCAGTAAAGTACACACAACTGTGGTAAAAAAATAAAATGGCTACAAAACAATAATTAAGTAAATTCAACAGTGATTACTACATGACTACACGACTCATCAAAAGAAATAACAGAAATAACACAGGTAGCAGAAAAAACTCAAAATTCTATGTACAAAAATGAAGGCTCAAAAAAGAAGAAGACACACGAAAGCTTCAAGAGTATAAAGCATTAGAAGCCACAGTGTATAATTCACTTTCCTAGCATCAACATTTTCAGCACTGAAGTGATGGGAAGCACGCTAAACGCCCCGATACCAGGGCCGGCAACTTCTTGAACACCTAAATTAGTAAAACCAGTTCAATTAAATGCTTGACAAATAACGTGAAAATTTTACTAATACAGCCATTACTCAATAACAAATGTACAGCACGATAAGAAGTAGTCTTGGACAGTTCCCCATGGATTCTTAAATAGTTATCTGATATCATTATTTGCCCGCAAAACGCTATTTCCCAACCCACACCTGTAACCACTACTAGCTCCAGAAGCAAAATAACGAAACGTACTTGCAAGCGACAGATCAAAAAAACTGTCTTTTCTACTTTGGATTACAGCTGGTGTACCATCTACAGAGTAATTCAATAACGGCTTTTCTGCCAAGTCCGCAGTCTTCTTACCATCCACCGACTTTTTAAACAGCATTCGTCGAAACAGAAACTTAGTTTTCTCTTGGTTTCCTGCCAGTTTTTCTTGATCTGCATAACCGATAGAATCGTTTTGATCTCCACCTAAAAACAATTTAGTTAAATCGCCAAAACAACATTTCAAAGAAACAGATAGTAGCAATAAGATGCACGATTAGTAAGCAGAAAACTTACGCTGACATCTTATTACAAATATTTAAAAAAATAATAAAACTATGGCTAAATTATTATAAGTATTTTCTACTAACGTTTATTATTTGGAGTACTGGTTGCACCTTCATTGCCATCATTCTTACCCATTAAATCCAACGTAATACGGCCAGTGACCGCCGTATTAGCGAACTGATTAGAGCTTAACAGCAACACAGATAGAAGACAGAAACAGTTGCGGAACATGTTTTAAATCTGAAAACCAAAAACAACTTAAAATAACAACCCAAAGGCTTCAAATGATACCATGTACACAACGGGAAAGCGAAATAAGGTCGAAAAATATATAATAGTACCAAAAAATGTTTTGATATACGTAGATGATTCTCCCATACATTGATATACTGGGCGTGAGGGTGCAGTAATGATCGTCTGCGGCGTATGCTAACCAGGGGGGAAGTCACTAAATCAAAGTTTTCAATCGGAGGTCAAAACGCTGACTTACAAAGTGTTATTCTAACAGGCGTGAATTGAAGTTTCGTCTCCTTTATACTATCGCAGGAAATGATTACCCGTTTAAAAGGTTCGAGCCATCTAACATAACGTCACTTTCAGATTCTTCATATTAACTGATATCTACGAGAACAGGGAACAAATTTTATGAATAAAACAATTTTTGGGAACTGTAACTGTAACTCCCTTTTCGACTTTCGACACATATAAACGTTTTCAAAATGAATTGCTGATTATCATAAATCATAATACTTGCTGCACTGTTTCTCAAGCCGCTTTGAAAATTTGCTATTAGCGTTTCAGTGTAATTCTATACTTATAATCAACAGAAATTTGTCATAAAAACTGTCTATGTGCGCTGAAAGTTGACAAAATGACTGATTTTACAAAAGACAAATTGTTTTCCCAATCTACAGTTACAATTTCTGTTTTAACTGTTTTACTCAGAACGTTTGTCTCCTATCATCGTAATCACAGACAAAAGTTGATTTGAAGAGTCTGAAAGTGACGTCACGCAAAAGGAAAAAGACATTGTTTAACAGTCACAATATGTTAAACTATCATAACTATATGTGGTCTTTTTAGACAGCCTATACCTTCCAGAGAGTTAATCATACAATTAAGAGTTGTATGAAGGGGACTAGAATTCAACTCACACCTTTCACCATAACACTTTGTGGACCAGTCTTGCGACCTCCGACTGAAAACTTGGGTGGTTTACCGCCTTCCCTCGAACTCAACTATGTCCCAGAAACGCATTGCTACACCCACACTCCGACTATAAAAGCTCCAGCTCAGTAAGTGGGAGATTCATTTTTA